GTCAAATATTATGTAAAAAAATACATTTAACTTAAAAATTCAAAGTAAATCACAAAATGTTTATTATTAATATTATTACTATTATTAAGAATAGAGTTTTTATTATCAGCAAAATCAATTTTGTTGATTTTTGGTCATCTGCTAAATTATCCAACGTGACTGTTTGGCTTGATGGCAGTATGTTTATAAGCATACTGCCATCTAGTGGTAGATTGTAGGTTTTACTTTTCACCTCAAATACTTGATCTCGCCAAACAAATTGGATTCATAATGTATGGCTTACATTACAACCTGTTTATATCTTGTCTGAGTCTGACAAAAAGCCTCGGCAGTAAATCTATTCTGCAGTATATCCCAGTCCTCTGAGTGACATTGGCAATAAGATGGAAAATTGGTGATCTGATGTATGAGTGAGTGTGGTATATGTTTTCTTTTAACCAACAGGGCAGCAGGTGCAGTCACAGAGCTGGAGCGTGAAAAGTGGGAATCCGACCTATTGGTTTAGAGAGGATGGAAACACATTCCCCCTGACCTTTCCGCTTCATTACCTGCCATGATGCCTCATAAAGTCAGGAAAACACCAGGCTGGAACGTTCGTCCAGAAGAATCCTACACTTTCTTTCCTTTGTGAAATTCAGTCGAATTTCCTCCAGTTTTTGCAGAAAGAGATTCATATACTGACTTGATTATTCGTGTTTAACTTCAACTTAACGTGAGCCAAATCTGTGTACATTTTTAATTACTGAAAAATCTAATCAAATGTTATGATTTATTGTTTAGTTTGTAGTCAGTAAAGATAACCAACCTATTTCTGCATCATATGCATCAAGTTGAAAGAACTGCTGTGCTAATTTTCTTTACTGACCTCTAGTGGATATTTGAGACTAAACAATAATAAAATCTATGAAAATGTTTTGTTGAACTTATAAACTGCTTTAGAAATTCAGAAATCAGATTTTCAAAAATTAACAGTTGATAAAAGATTTTTTTATTTTAAACTGTCACAAACACGATTTTAAACAACAATCAGTTTGATATTATAAAATAAAATAAAACCAAACATAGCAATGTTTATGCAAGACTGGCTCAGTCTTCAGGCAGCCATGATTGTCTGGCCAAGATCAGAAATATCAGTCAGAAGCAAAAAAGCAAAATACAAGTTTTCATTTTAACTTATGTATTTTTTGTGGGCCTCTGCACGAGTCTTGCATTTTCTGTCAGCGATTCATAAGAAAAATAGGTTAACAATATATATGTTTTGAGATCATGAGTTTAAATCCTCATCATTCAGAATATCTTACTTGTTTTGGAAGATCTGGAAGCACAATATTCTTCCATGATGCATCTGAACAGCCATGATCTCAACAATATAATAAAACTTTATGGATGGTGTTTAAAAGCAGGTCAGAGGTCAACCAGTCTAAAAGATGATTTTCAGACGAGGTGAGAGATTAAATCTCCAGACAGAATTACATCAGAACCCCGTCGATGGGTAATTTCTCTGCAACTTATTGAAGAAGATTTATCTAAATAAAACCACGGATGTTACATGCTACATCACCAGTCCAGCTTCCCAGAAAATAATGATTTAAATATCTAGTTAAAAGCCTCAAACTGGTCAATTTAAATTTGCCCACAACATCCATGTGTGTATAAGCTTCTAATCGGAACTGTATTTAAATGCAACAGTGTTAAACCTCACAGTAGTGGCTCACATCTCATATCTGCAAGCATATGACATCAACAACAACAAACAGGACAAATCATGCCTCCGATTCACAACAGAGGATAAATCTGCACCAGCATAACAGGTCCTGTGGAGAATATAATTCTTGATATCGTCTATATGCAGTCACTACAGCCCTTCCTTCGTCTGTGTGCATGTTGGTGTTAGGAGTGGCCTCCGTTTCGGTAATGACAGCATGGCGGCTGCTCCAGCAGGGATTACCGTGCCATGTGCTTGGGCTCCCCACTGTGCGCCATAATGAAGCAGGGCTGTGCAGACTGGAGGCCCAGTCTGCAGGTTGTTCTTCCTTCACCAGAGTTTCACGGCTCTGAACGTGACTGCATCACTGGAGATTAAAGATGTCTGCCACACAGAAGGAAGGCAGAGTTTTCTGCTTGTTCTATTGACTTGACCATCCAGTTAAAGAGCAAATCACAAAACATCAGTTCAGAAAGTGAAGGTGTGCTGTGTGAAAGATATCTGCTTAACTGGTTGCACTCCAGCCTGAGGACCACACAGTGAAGTGTGGATCATGACTCCATCCTGAGGCAGAAATGACATCCATAAAGGCTACACTTACATGCACTGTTAAAAAAATGCATTTCAGATTTGATTGACAACATTTCTATTTGTTAAATGTCAGAATAATGAAAGAGAGAGAGCATTTTACAGGTCAGTGCATAGATGTGCCATGACATGAATAGCAACAAAACTGAAGTTAAAATGTTTTGACACAGATAAATGATCAGGAGTTCAGCATGAAATTTCAGTTATTACAGCTAGAAACTAATAATCAAGTCTAAAATCAGACCTGAACCTTCAGTCACACAAAGAGAATTACAAAATTGACCTATGACCTGGAGAACATCTCCAGCATTCAGACACATCTGAAACTTGCTGATGCTGTTTTACATTATAGACATCTGACGTTTATTTAGTGCTGTCACATCCGCCCATCAAATCAAAGCTCTTGTTTGTGTTTGAATCCCTCCCAGGTGACGTTTTGTGGTTGGAAATCTCCTGAGACCAACTTCACAAAGATAGTTCTGCTGGGTCATGCATTTCAGTTCATCCTCAAGCAATAATTCAGTGGATTATTGCACTTTGTGTTGCAGAAGTCTTTGAGGTAAACTGATCACTATTGCTGTGGTTTTAACCTGATCTACCTGAAGAGGATTTTGCAGACAAACAGTGAGTCAACAATGAGTTTTCTGTTGACACAGTTTGTGGTACTTTAGGCGCATAAACTATTTTTATCCTTTCCTTTGTTACAGTTGTAAAAACAGACCATTTCTCATCTCTGTGCAACAGTTTTACATCTTCTTAAAGGCTTAATGGAGCTACAACAAAATAAAACAGCTTTTGTGGGTGTGATATAATTTTTTACCTGAATATTTGAACAGAATGTTCTCTATTTTAGCTTTTAAGGCCAGAATGAGAATCTAGTGGCTCCTCTCCCCTCCAGGTCTGTGTGGATGTTCAGATCCTGCAAGATCAAGCAGAGAGAGCAGCTCTTAGAGAGATCAATACTCCGTAGTGGATTTCCTATATCAACCACACAGAAATCCTACCATCTGTGACATATAGGTTGAGCATATAAGTCACTGCTGGATGGGATCCAATCCAATAAGTCGCTCTCCACACCGTCTGTTCTTGTTGGGTTGGAAATGCTGGATGGGCTGACAGAAGTGCACGAGCAGAGACAGCAGGTAATGGCACCAGGTGGAGTGTTCACTTTTTTTCCACTTTTTCACAGCAGTTCAGATTTTTTTTTTCAAGTTTTTTAGCTCTTCATACCCATATTAATAATTTTGTTTTCCAAAATTTTTGCTCTAAAAGGTGCGCCAACAAACATACAGGAATGAATAATCAGGAAGTCGGAGTAGATCTGTCCACCTGGCCTTCAAATCTAGAAGGTTTCAGCATCATTTGGCTTCAGGTTTTATTTTCTTCAGGATTCAGACAAGACAGCTGCTGATTTAATCAAAACATGATTTGATAGTAATTTTTCTGCTTTGAATTAGTATAGAGAAGACAATATTTAACACAATATTAGACAAGATAAAATTACAAAAAATAAATATTTTTTTTATGACAGACACAAAACTTGTCTGGTATTTGCAAAACAGCCAATCCAGGAGCGCCATGCATTTTCCTGGCACTGATTGGTTGTAACCTCAAAAGTGGAGATAAGGTAGATTGTGGATGTTAGCTTCAGCTGTAGCACTCTGTCAACTTCTACTGTGCAGTCTAATATTGAGTTATATTTGGTGTTTGAACTATTAAATTAGAAGTTATAAACACTTTTAGAAGGTTGTTTCAAGTATTTGTGGATTGTCGCTTTTTGCAGGCGGTGTGGTTCTTAAACCTTTGCTAATACTGGGGATCTGCAAATCATAAACTGTTTGAGCTTTATAAAAATAGCATAAAAACTGAATTATTTTTACATACAGCACTTTTGCACAGTTTGTCACATTACATCCAAACATTTTAAGGGATTTAATTGACATTTTCATAAGGATTTTTAAGCTTTTGTATTCAGTCTTACTGAGTCAAAGCTATGTAAATACAAAACTTGTAATTGCAGGTGAAGTTGCATATAACTGTGGGAATGACTCCACCAACTTCACAGATCTAGAGACTGAAAATGTCTTTACTGTAAAGTTGCAGAAGATCAGTGAGTCAGAAGATCAAACCAGAGCTGACATGAAAATGAATGTTCAGATGCGTTTGAACTCATCTGAAAACACATCTGAACATTAATCTTCATCTCAGCTCTGGCGAGATGTTTATGTTTAGGAAAGTGATGAAACGATCAGAGCTCCGAGAAATACTCAAAGCTTGCAATGTTGTTGCAGACTATGACCTTTAAACTTCTCCACAACACTTTACCTGACCGACAAATAGATACAGGCCAAACTTTTCAGATTTTTCTTTGTAAAACATTTCCTTCCACTTCACAAATATTATCTGGAATTTTAGATCTTTCACTATGTTAATCATAAATTCTTTTTAAGCCCCTGGATGTTCTGTTTAATTTCAAATATTATTACCTTCACAAATACAGGCAACAACAACCAGGAAGTACTGAGGTCCAATAACAGGCAGAAACTTTTTAAGTAACTGTTCCTGAAAACAGAACAACAGAGCATGTTAAATGTTTTCACTATATGAATAAATTCATGGAATATCACAATACACACTTATCTTATGATAAAATGTGATACAAATGTGTGTACAAGTAAAAATAATACAAAAACACTGCACTGTTGGTGTTTCTCAGATCTCTGCAAAAAATAAAAAAAGCTTTTTGGGGGAAATAAACTTTGGTTACAAAAAAAGAAACAAAATGTCAGAGACAGAAAAAAAGATGTCCTAAAAGATAAAAGTAATAAAAAATAAATACGTTTTTTTGGGAAAGCTGGGACTGACAACATCTGGATTCCATAAATACGGAAGCCAACAAATATTTTTATGAGGTGTAAACAGTGACAACTTTCCTGCATGAGCCCTGCTGGCATGTTCATCTCCAACTGCGCTCACACCGCAGATCAGGACAGAGAGAAGGCGATGATTTCTCTTCTGAAAGAAGCAAAGTGTGTGTGGAGTCAGAGATGGATTTGAAATATGAAGCGATAAACTCTGCGATGATTGTAGGAATGACTGAGTGCAGCGCTGAGCAAATATTTGACCACACAGACACTGAGGAAATACATCAGGCACAACATTTATTATAGATTGTCAAATACTTTATTGCGGTGGCATGATTTTAATATTTAAAAACTCAGAGGTGTTCTGTTATGCATTCTCCCATAACTGGCTTCCATTTCCATATTAGGATATTTCAGAAAATTAATAACATTTCTCAATATTATTTAGAATATTTTCTGTTTCACAGAGCCAGTCTTTGAAAGCCACTGCAGCACCACTACAGATATTGAGTTTTAGAGGAAGTTTTACTTTTTAATTTCACTTTATTTTTAATTTTATGATCCAACAAGGTTTCATCAGTTTAAAAAATGTCATAAATGAAACAAATGTGATGGGAGATTGAAGTGAACTCATCTGAGCCGCTGGTTCCAACAGAACATGTGGCTCCATAACCAAATCTGGTTCTTAAAGTTCGTCTCAGTTGCTTTTAATAACAAATAATAACAAACTGATTTGTTTCTCTAAAAATAAAGACAATAAAAATACTTGTCTACAAACAGTTTGTGTAGATTTTTCACAATTTAAAGACATTAATGATACAGAAAGCATTTGCTTTTGTTGCAGCTGAGGTAAATATTTTTTATTTTAATTTTCCTCAAGTATAGAATAGACAACTCAAGAAAAATGTAAAAATATAAAGATACAGAATTATTAGAAATGTGTTAAAGCGTTTTCTACTGTAAACCTTCTAAGTGTATCGATTCTGCATTTGTTTTTATGAATTTCTGCAGTTTTATGGGACCGTCTGACCGTTGTCTCTGAACAGAGCAGATTACATTTCATCTGAGATCCAACTGCTGACGTTCAGGGTCTATTGCTGGGGCTTCAAAATAAAATTATTTAAAAACATCAACTAGTTATAAAATGCTTTCAGAAATGCTGCTTACGTCCAAGTTATTTCCTTGAAGTTATGAAAAATGTGGCAGCAATTACTGGTGCTGACGCTGCCAAAAGTGGGTTTAGTTACAGAGTTTGAAAACTGCCAGTGTAATTATTACATTGGTGCCTTGTGCAACTATGAAAATAATTACACACTGAGTAATGTACAGTGCAAAAGTATTCATACCTCAATGTTTTCCTCTTTTCCATCGCACTGCAACAACAGACTTCAATTTATTTGGTTCATGTTTTATGTGAGAGAGCAAACATGAAGCAACAAATAACTGTGAAGTGGAAAGAAGATGATAAACAGTTTCTAACATTTTTTTTATGAATATAAGTCTCCTGCAGTTTTAACAGAGTTTCTTCCAGGATTGTCCTGGACTTAGCTTTAAACTTCTCCAGACCTTTTTCTTGACCTGCTTCTGGCTTCCTGGGTCTTCATGATGCTGGTTGATCTCCAAAGAATCTGTAAGTTCAGAAATGCACAAGTGGACTCCATTTATAATCAGACAACTTAAGACCACACCCATTAATCGCACAAGGCATTACTCAGAGGTAACAGAGTAAAAAGGGCTGAGTTCAAATGAATGGCACACTTTTATTTCTAAAAAAGATTTGAACCATATTTGTTTTTCAATTCTTAATTATGCACTACTTTGGGTTCTATTGATTGAACTGAAGGTCTTTGGTGATTGTGAAGCTTCATAATGTTCAGAAGGTGTTAATACTTTCCCAACACTCTAAATCACAGCCCACCACATTTTCAGAAAGCTGCATTCTCCCGAGTTATGTTTATTTGATAATTAAAAGTAAAACTCAGCCAATTGAACTGCGTTAAATGTTCGCTCATATTCTGTCTTCTCATTTCAGAGTTTTAACACAGTTGCAAAGTTTGTCAAGCCCTGCTGGAACGTTGCTGACGAGTACATAAAGTCCCGTTGTGAAGCTAAACGGACTGACTGCAGTTCTGACTCACATGCAGCAGCAGGTAACTCGGGGCGTAGTGCCTTGCCCAGGGGCTCAGAGACAAGAGAAGGCTGGAATCAAACCTGAAACTTTCTGATTGTAACACAACTACAGTGACCTGAAATACCACAAAGAATCACAACCAAATACATTTAAGTAAAATTCTCAACATTCCACAAAGATTTGTGTGTGTGCCCACCTGTGTGGTATAAGCACAGAAAGGCCAGTAACCAAACAAGGATGAGAGAATAAAGAGACAAGAATTTACTCATGTGTCCATATTTCTGCAGAATCTGTCCCATCACCACACAACATGAAAGCACAGAGATTTCTCTTGGAAAACATTTCTGTTTGGACTCAGGAACTGAACTGAAGTTGGAATTAGGTGAATAAATTGTGACGTTGTGTTTTTTCTTTGCTTGGCTTCCCAGTAATATTGCTCATTTTATGCTCAGAGATGTGATGTTTGTACAGCTGGAACGTTGACTCGGTCTGTAAAGTGTGACATTAACTCTGCAGGCGTTCCTGCCTTTGTTCCTGCCATCATTTCAACTCCGGCGCAGAAATATGGCAGGTTTGTATATTTTGCATGACTGAACATGATCTTTACAGAGAGACTGAAGAAATGCAAGAGCGCAAATGTTCAGTGTTAGGTTGGATGTTTAAGGCTAAATCCAAAAGAAAAATTGAGGAACTTCTTGTACTTTGATTCTGTCATTCTGACTTTCTTTGTTCGTCCATTTTCTTTGCAACTAAAAAAAAATAAAAACAACTCAGATTCTGTTTCTCACAATTTCGCTCTGCCCTTTCTGACTCACCTTGGGTTGTGAAGATTGTTGGATGTGAAATGAAAGAAGCACTAAAGCAAACACAAGTGCTCAGGTGTAATTTTCTAGCTAAAGCTGGAGCCTGGGAAGCGGTCGTGCCGAGTTGCTCTTCAAACTCAGACTCTGGGTGGCTGACAGCCGCAAAACTGAGGTAAACGTCAATTAAGCTGTTACAGAAGATGGCAGGCCCAAAGAAAACAGAAAACAGTGCAGGAGGGGGGCAGCCTGTGTAAACTGCAGGTGTCTCAACACGATGCTGTGGATAAGGCTAAAATGTTAGCAGCTATGGACTTGTCGGGTTAACGTGACAAAGCATGAGAAAGACTTCAGAAACTGATTATTCCCATAGAAATCCTGTAGATCTTCCAGTTGTTTTCAGTTTCATCCAGTAAAAGCAGAAATGATCTGGGATGAGTTGTATACAGTTTGGAACATCACACAGGCTCACTGATAGACACTCTTTAAATTCCTGAAATACATGGACCAACCTGTGGTGGCTCATGTTACGAGCTCCACTGTTTTGTTGTTATAAACCACAAAACATATGTTAATAAGATGCAGAAATACTCAAACTATGTTTGACTTGTTTCTGCATTGCGGTTTTCATGCTTGTCTTAATCTAAAGTAATTCTAGTTCCAGGAAAAGCACTAATTATGCTCTTGTCTTTGTTTTTGGATAAGATGAAAAACTTCATTGTCTAGGTAGACATTTTCTTTCTGTCTCCCACCTCAAAATGAGACACATTCAAACATTCATCAACAGAAAAAGCTAAAGAATGATCTTTATATTCAGCCCTCAAATGAATCAGAGACCAACTTTAGCAGCACTGGCCTCCAGCAGAGCTCTGCCACACTCTGTGGGAACTTTCACAGTTAAGTTTAAAAAAAAGTCCAAAGCTAAAAGCTAAATCTTTTCTGCTACTTGTCTGAGCTGGAAGACATTTAAGCATTAAAACTTTTGTAAACAAAATGTTTTTTATTTATTTGTTGAAAGTGTCACTATGTCTTCACAGTATATTCTGAGTCAGATAATCTTAAAAAAAATTAAGTTTCTCTGCCTCCTGCCAGTAGTTATACTGCCATCTGCAGAAATACTTTGCTCTTTCAGAAACAACAAATCAGAACAAGAGGACAGTCTTACTGCTGTTAATCATGCTTGTGTAGGCCATGCAGCTTGCTTGCAGCTAGCCTACAGCTTGTTTCCCACCCCGTCCATGAAAGCACAAGTTAATTAGTATAGCTACCGATAACGACAGATAAGCAACTTTTCCTGTAATGTCAAGGTTTTTCTGTACCATTTGTACATTAAGCAGTGAACACATGAGGACGACTGACAGCACTAAGACCCTCCTTCTGGATCTGGTTGGTTGCTTCTGAGCTGGAGCAATGTATTTCTGCAGATGGCAGAAGGACCACTGGGAGGAGAAAAAGGAGCTGGGTTGTTTCATAGACTGTATCTGCATCCTGACAGCTTTAACAAATATGTAAATGTACATAATATATATTTATGAAAGTTACACTCTGCAGCTGTTTTCAGGCTGCAACATGCAATTCCTGAAAAGTGACACTGTGGACATAAAATCTTCCAGACCTTCTCTAAATGTGAAGCGGGCCTGATGGACATTTTGAGTTGAGCTTACTGAGTCGGGACAGTGATGTCTTTCTGATTAGCTTGTTAGCCTAACAGGACTCCGAGGATTTCTTCACTTTTCTACAGACTCATGTTGATCTGACGACAACAGCTGAGGGAAATTTTACAGATGATTTCTCAGCTGAAATTTTCCAAACTATCCCTTTAATTCAGACTCCTCTTTATTGGAACTTGAATATTGTCTTTTGACCAGATGGCAGCAGAGCTTCTGATTTTTGATTCAGTTGTAAAAATAGCAGGTGATATTCACCCTTAAAAATCAGCCGTATCGTCTAAATTGTCAAGACCCTCATGATGGAGCCTTTTTTTCTCCCTTCAAGCTCCATGAGAGCTGCTCCGCTGATCTTTTCAGCATGCTCTCAATGTGCAGAAATTGATTTGGAGAGAAAACAACTCAGATCTGTGTGTGTGTGTTTTGTTTTCATCCCTCTTTAATAGAACTTCAGAGAGCAGGAAGTGTGTGCGTCATGAAATCCGTCCTGGTTATCTGCTTTCACACGCTCTAGTCTGCCGCCTGCCCTCCAACTGCTCCCAGCCTCCACAGCCAGAGGAGCTCCAACACGGCTGCACGAATGGCACATGTATACTGAACAAACACGCAGCAGACACCGGCGCTGAGCAGCGCCTGAACTCCCCACAGCACAACTACTCCCAGCAAAACTCACTAAAATAAAACACTTTCACCCGGTTTTAGATCGACGCTTTTATGAAAAAAAAAAAAAAAAACATTTCTAGTTTTAATTTTGAGCAAAGTAAACAGACACAAATGTTGCAATAAATTGAGGCATCTTCTGATTTATTTTGAAAGATTGCCAGAGAAGCTTTTTTCCTGTTAGTTCAGATGGGTTGTCATGAATCTTGTGGAAAACCTCTCTTCAGGCCTTAGGTGAGGGTGAGAATGTGTGAGGTCACATCATGTGACCTTTAGCTGAAGCTGCTGGGCCACCATTGGTTAAGAGCCAAACACTCCACTTCCCCCAGACACAGGAGTCCTCTCTGCTGCAGAGCTCAGGCTTGTTGGCCCAACTCTTGCCAAAGTGTCTCACTTGCAAACTACACCTGCATACCAACATGTGTGCAAACATACGTATGAAACAGGCTGGCGTGTCTCCCATCCTCTCTCACCTACAGACAGCACTGACCTCACCCAGCTGAGTGTTTCTGTCCCTTTGGAGTCCTGCTGTGATTTAATTTGGCTCTGTTGCTTCATTGCCTCCTTCAAATAATAAACTATTGATCTGAGCCACCCTGCCTGCTCTGAAACATCCGGAATCTGTGTTCATTATCTTAACCCATATCCCTCCAACTCCCACATTTCCTGCTTGCTGCAGCAACACAGAGTTACTAAACAGCAAAAGAACGGATGTCATGCAAAAAGGAGAAAAATTTTCATATTAATTTGTAAAAACAATTCTAAGTCAAATTTTCTACATCCATTGTTCACCCAAACTGGTTTCCTAGCATTAAATATAATCAAAGTATTTATTAAAACCACAAATCTTCTGTGAAGAGAGCTGTCATCACCAAACAGCTTCATATTTAATCTGCGTGAATCTTTAGCGGCTGTGATTATTTTTGCTGGGTTTTTGCATTTGTTGTCTTTTTAATTTAAATTCTGCTGAAGCAGCGAGTTTCTCTTCTAAAATCATAGTGGAACAAATTCCCCTCCGTGATGAACTGCGGGTTGTGGGTAAAATGAAGCAGGCGATGTGTGGATTTCTTTGGCGATGGGACTGAAAATACCATCTTTATTCACGCATTTTATCATTACAAATTTTACACGTGATGCAATAATTATAAAACAACATTATGAATCCATTAAGAAAGTGTTTTTTTACGCATAATTTAGGATAATTATTTCAAATAAATATAACCAGTTTGTAAAGCCGTAAATTTAATGTAATTTTATTTTTGCTTAATCAAAAACGGTGTTACATTTCCTGAAGTAAAATTATTAAATGTATTTTCAAAAAGTGAAGACCTAACTTCCATGCAATAATTACATTTCAAAGACACCTATTTTTTGTTTTAAATTAAATATAAGTTGATGCTTACCTTGGAGCAGAAGTGGGAGCCACAGAAGCGTGCAGTCCTGATCAGCGCGTCACCAAATGAACGATTTCCCACTGATTCCTCTTCAGGTCTCATGTTGATTGTGTCGATGTGTATTCAGACTGCAGACTTGTGTATTCGCCCGGGTTTATCCCTCCACCCCGCCTGTACAGGATGATTATTTCTGCGACTTACCAACTCCATCCAAAGGTGACACTTGTGGAAAATCTTAAAGGGTTTGCAGCTGCGCACGGCATATATGGAAACGGGTGAACGCTTCGCTGGTGTTTGTTATTTGGCACTTTTGTAAAAACAACACTCCGGACTTACTGAGATTTATTTCTGCTCATAATAAAGCCCCATGAGAGGCGACCTCAGGCGAATCTCACAGTGGATCTCCGGATCGGGCCAATAGACCACCTTTGTGCTAAAAACTGGGGAAGGCTGCACTTTTACATCCCATATCTGCATTATGGCGGAATATAAAAGAAATAAAATATAAATATAGCATTTTGATGCATGCATGTTGCACATATTTTCTTTCTTTTGCCGAAAGTGGGGCGTGTTTCCTCCGTGATTTCTTCCATGAACTCTTCCCCCGCTTCCTCCTGCACGCATCCCCGGCCTTCATACCTCTGCAGCTCTGCATGTTTGCTCAAGCTTCATACTCATAGTTTGTTTGGCTTTGTCACGTTTGTGCACATTTAAAGCATAAAAAATCAGCAGCAGCAATGAAAACAATAAAAGGGCAAACAGATGACTAAGGCTGGTTGCGTGTCTACAAAGAAGAACTTGTTGGAAACAAAACAAAGCAACTTTTAAGGTATGTACATAAGAGTCCAACAAAGCAGGGTTGACTTGATGCATGGCTGCGTTTGAATCGCCTTATTTCTTTTTAAACTTTATTCTAAGGTTTCATTGACTCTAAAAAATCCACTTGAGTGAAGGGAACTTAATGGATTGCTGTCTTTGTTGTGCGCGCCGCCGCGCAGCTTTTTGTTGATTCCCGTGTTATTTCAAGCCCCAGCGAGCAGCCGCGGCTCTTGGCTGGAGCAGGCAGGCAGACAGACACGCATTCTGGGGCTAATCTGCAGGAGCATCCCGGTGCTATGTGTATTGGAGCGGCCCATTGTTTTCCTCTATAGATTAGCCGCACAAGCGCCTCAGACAATCGAAAGATTATAGACAGACTGTCACTACTTTGCACAGACGTCTTGCACAAAGATTCAATAAAAGTCGCCCAGCAGAATGTTTTTGGAACAATATATTTACTTCCATTAAATAAAACACAATATTTCGGGAATTGATGGGGAAAAAAACAACATAATTCCGTACCAAATAGTATACACAGAGCAAAAAACCAAATCATTTGTCGCAGGAACATTTTTGGATGCTTATTTTTTTTTAATCCAGAATTGCTATTCTAAATCGATATTCACACAGACATTAATAATAAATTTATAATATGTTCGAAACACAACTGGTGCGTCTTTAGTATGTACATTCCCTTTTTGTTTGCAAGCAAAACATGATTCCTTTTTTTATTAGGATTTGTATTTTTTTTTATCCACATGCGTCGATAAGTTGGAACCTGGAGAGGAGCCGCAGGTTGGAGCGCAGCCGCTTCAACAAACAGGAGATGATCATTCAAATATATTTACACCAACATTTCTGTCAACAGTTAACGTCCAGAATCCATCAAGGAGAAAAGCCCTCATGACGAGCTGTGAAAAGTGAAACAGGCCTTTATTCAGATTTTTTTTTTTTAACTCAGTGAATGAGGCCATCGCTCATCGGAGAGGAAGAAACTTAAAAAACTCCCGGTTCGGTTTGACTCCGAGGAGGAGCTGAGTGTGTTTCAGTGGTTCAGTCTTCTAGTGCCCTTGTTTTGAAAAAGAAAAAAAAAAAGAGAAAAGTAGCTGTAGTAGTCTCTTGTTTCTGTGGACGGCTGCTATTAATTATCCGCACACTGCAAAAAATAACCACCGTCACAAAAATAACCCTCTAAATTAGATTCCCTGCGTGAAAATGAACGAAAGTCAATAAGAGCGAATTGAGTCACATCTTTCCTATTATTTGATGGAAAAGTTGAGTCTTGGGGTGGATGGTTACCAGGCGAGCAGTAAATTCCCTTTAACACTTCAAACAGTTCAAAATGATCTTTTGTGGGTTAAAAATGCTTTGTCCTCTAACATGTCAGCTCGGTGGCGATTTTTTGCAGTGCAGGTAGCAATTAGACCGGCCTGTCCACCGCGTACTGGCAAGCGCTCAGATTGGTGGCTGGATTCTGAACCCCCGCGTATCCAAAACTCGAGTGCTGCTTGGCTTTCAGTCTCAGGCTGGCCAGGCTGGAGTTACAAGTGTCTCTGTACACGTAGGGCGGGGTCGGCGGCGCGTAGGGACACGCCGGCGTGGGCACCCCAGAGTTGAGGGAAGGATTACTGAGGTTGTTCAAGTTATTGAGGCTGTTCAGGCTGGATCCCGGCACGCCGGTCACCGCGGATGGCACCATGCTGGAAGTCATGGACGAGATGGAGTTGGGCGGCGAGAACATGGTCTGCGAGGATAAAGGGTTGACGTTCATGGAGTTGAAGAAGGGGAAGCTTTTGGTGGATAAGGAGGCGGACGTGAGGCCCTTGGCGGCCCAGTTGTTGTACGTGTAGCTGGGATACATGTCGTCGTACGGCTGCATGAGTCCATTGAACTGCGGGCCGAAGCCGTTCTTACACAGCTCGGCTTGCTGGTTCCTCTCCCGTTTCCTCCACTTGGCTCGTCTGTTCTTGAACCAAACCTAGAGCACAAAAATAACAAATATAAGAGATAACAAACACTTTTTTATTTTTATTTTTGTCATTCGTGCATTTTTTTATATTGGGTTCTAATTTTTCTCCCTAAATGTACAGAATTAAAATAAAATCCCTTCATTCCTATTTGCGCAGAGCTCCAGTTTTACAGCCGCCTCTATCTGCGCGGAATACACACTGCAGTCTCAGTGGAGCATCTTAGCGTGGAGTGGATGTGTATTCCCCCGCATGCTTCCACAAACACTCTGACCTTAATCACACAACGACAGGGCGACAATCGCAAAATACAAGCTTTGCACCTCTTTTACACGGAGAGAAGAACACAAGTGGCATGTCAATGGCCTCGACTGTTAACAGCGTCATCACTGCCTAATTACACCTAATAGGCAAATAATACATTGAGTAATTTATCATTATTTTTAAAATAATTAAACGATAAGGATAATTTCCAGGTTATTTGTTGTGGGGTGAATCTTTGCGCGTTGCGTTATAATTGATCAAGTTTATTGAAATGAACTTAAATTAAATGTGTTTTTATCCTGCAATATTTCAAAATTAATTTCCCTTTAATTATATTATGAGTACCATTTTTATTTGTCATATTGTTCTACATTTGAGCAATCCATAAAGTTTTCTTTACGCGCGTAATTGTGCCAAAATGCCGCATAATTAAAAAACTATAAATTGTATTCATGTTCAGAGGGAATGAGAAGTGCTGCGCTTGGTGTGTGTGTGTGTGTGTGTGTGTGTGTGTGTGTGTGTGTGTGTGTGTGTGTGTGTGTGTGTGTGTGTGTGTGTGTGTGTGTGTGTGTGTGTGTGTGTGTTAACGCACCCTGACTCTGGCCTCTGTGAGGTTGGTCCACACGGCTATCTCCTCCCTGGTGCTCATGTCCGGGTAGCGGTTCCTCTGGAAGGTGGCCTCCAGCTCCTGCAGCTGCTGGCTGGTGAAGTGAGTCCTCTGCCGCCGCTGCCTCTTCTTCTTGGACGGGTCGTCCGAGGAATCGTCGTTTTTATTTTGTATTTTTTCTTTTTCTGTAAAAAGAAAACCGGGTTTTTAGATTGATGTTTGGCTGTTTGAATTTAAAACAGAATAAAACCCAGAGTTTTTAAATCCTTCTGAATAAGTTTTTATTGATTTTAAAAATATACTTTTTCCTTTTAAATTGCATTCTATTTTTTATAATAATGCTGAAAATACAAGAAACTATTTAAACTGTTTAAAAACAAACAACACAGAAAACAATAATTCACCGTCAAACCAGAAACAAACGAGCTGCTTTCAAACTGACAGCTCCGGTGTTTATGAATATAAATTTCCCTTCATGGTGACTGATAGCAGCTATTGTTTCATAACCAGATGATCTCTGGGCTCCGGGTGAAACCCCGGCCGGTTCTTACCCACAGACTCCGGGCTCGATGTGTCCGACACAGTGTGCACCTCTAACCGGTGCTTAGAGTCCACGGAGCGCTGCAGCGGCTGCAGGCTGGACGCCATCGCCAGAGCCGTGTGGTGCGTGGAGGCGAGTTTATTCCCTGTGAGGTGGTGGTCTATATTTAATGGATCCCTCATAGAGCTCATCGGTGAAAGATCTCACGAGCTTCTAGCACAGGAAGGCTGAGCGGAAAGTCCGACTCCGGAATGTGTTCAGCTGTCCAAAAAGCGCACAGCAGCACAGTTCCTCTTGCTGAGATGAAGCCCTCGTTCTGTTTAAACTGGAGAACGCTTTAAAACAGGCCATTGAGTTTTATCACAGCATCGGTGAAAACTGCGGCTACCTTGGCTGACTATCAGAGTGACAAGGACAGGTAGGTGATATTAGATCCAGAGGCTTACACACACTCCAGCGCTCTCTGCTCATTTCAGCTGTTGCCTGTGCTCTGCCCATCCAACTGCGCCTCTCTCCACACCTCCACGTCACCGCTTTGCCTCCGCCCCAATTCTCTCTGACAGGCGCGTCCATGCGGATGTGCCCAACCAACCGGAGCTCACAGAAACGAGATATGTCTGCCAGTGTATTTATGCCGGGGCTGGCGCTTATTTTTCCTCTTCCAAATAAAAGCATGTAAAGTCAGATGAGACGCACGGTGTACCGAGCTGCGCCCCGAGCCGCCGCCGCGCAGCAGCCCAAGACCAAATAAAAATGAAAATAACACAGTTTGGCCTCATTTTATGAGACGGGTCCAGTGGCCCGGTAAAGAGATGGAGTGCCGCGGATACCCAGGCTGAGCCGCGCTCTCTCCGGCTCTGTCGCTGCAGTTTGCTCAGCGGATAAAGCGGCTTTTA